TTGGAAGCCAGGTAAATATGAATATGTACATGTCACTTATGTTGAATGCCTTCCTTTTGTGTATAAGTTACATGGATGGTTCAGAATAGTTTTAAATGTGAGAAATGTTACTATTCCATATCAATTTGGACCTTTCTAGGCGGAGTTACCACACAGGGTCCTGGTTATGGGTGACGCGCGTGAGCCTTAATTTAAAACCTGAATGTAGTAATAAATTTGAAAAAAAATGAAACTTATCTTCAAAGTGTTCAAATTCATTTTGTCAAATTCGGGTCGATAAAAAAACTAATTACTTTTTGTCCGAAACATTAAAATCTTGATGAATCTAGAAAAAATAATCCAAATGTAAAATGTGAACTAATGTATCCTTTTTAAAAATTGCCAAGAGGTACATATATAAATTAGATATTCTCTCATAAAATATTTAAGGGTGATACGGAGTATATTTTTTCTCAAAAAAAAAGGATGACACCCCATCCCTGAGGGCCCCCCAACACCGACCGGACAGCACGATGGGAGGATGTAAATTGGACTATAATCACAATCTGACAGATAGAGAGTGGGGCTCTGTCCCCGGTACTTACAGAGGCCCTATGCATTTTTCAGCATAGTAACCCCTCATCGCAGTTGCCGGGATTCGAACCCGAGACCTAACCCTTGTGGCACTCCCTCGCTACCTGTTGAGCTACGCCCACCGGTAGAGTATATTTTTTCTCATATATACTTTAAGGATATATTTGTTCTAATCTTTGTACCTTTGTGTTTGCTTCAAGTTAAACAGGTGACAAATGAGTTATATGCTATGTAGCACCAATACTGGTACGCGGAAACGCGGAAACGCGGAAACGGGTACGGGGATACGTCAAAACCAAAAAAAGTAGGATACGGATACGGGGCCATATTTATAAATATTAAAAGTTATGGGGGTGTATTTACAAATAATAAAAGTTATAGGGGTCTATTTATAAATATTAAAAATAGATTTTTTTTTGAATATATATATACACATATAATATCCTATGATGTCTACCCATTCATTGCATTGAAGCATTTTCCCTTTTCAAGATACTTAGTAATAAATTCATAATATTTCTCATATACACTAGTGTATCTCGAAATATAAATGTAGTCAATAAGTCATTAATTTAAAATGTGAAATAAGTCAAACAACTACAATCTTGAAATTAAAAGTGCAAGTACCCACTTCGGAGTATGAGTTAATGACTTAATTCGGATATAGCCATATAGGCCCATTATTTTATTACCAAGTAAAATGTAGTTTTAGATTTTCATTTTTTTTTTTGGAATTTTATTAAGTAAATTTTGGGATTTTTTTTAAATAAAATGGTTGATACGGGTATCCGTCAGGATACGAATATCGGAAACTTTCAAAAAATTACAAAAAAAATGGAAACTTTTAAAAATTGCAGATATGGCCCGGGAACGTACGGTACGGGTATACTAGAGTATCGGATACGGGAACGTATCCGATACGCCGATACGCTACCCTAGGGAAGTATCCGTGCTTCACACGTTATATGTATTTGTAACAAAAAGTTCATTTCCCAAACGGCTAAACCTATCAGACCTGATCCACATTTTAGTAGTAATTTGCAAGTCTTGGGTCAGGTCAGTTTTAATTTTTGTCCCCCCTTACTCATGAAACTAAAGAAGTTTGTTTTTAACGTTGTGACATACATGATGATGATAATAATAATAAGGGAAAAGGGTCACATAAAATTAAATCTTCTACTATTGCAAAACCATCACATAAGCCGAGATACTTAAAAAACAATCACACAGATGCATATATTATTGATAAACAATCAAACCAGTCTAATAACCTGTAAGCAAGCTATGATAGCAGGTCAATGCCATTTTGTAACCTTTTTTCCTCTTCTTGTTTTCTGTTTTTGTACGGTTGTATACTCTGGTTGTGAAGCAGTTTTTTCATTTTACTTTCCCCCTAGTTTTTCCTTTCTTTTTCATTTTTCTTCTTCTTGTTCACTGCTTGGTATTCTCTTTTCATCCATCTCATTTGAATCCTCTATTTAATTTATTGTCTTTCTTTTTTCATTGTCTTCATTCTTATATCTCAACATTTAATAATTTCAGTTTTTTTGCTTGTCTCCTTTTTCATTATTGTTTTCATCTCACAAATCCTTCTTACCCTTTCATCCACATTATCTCATCAATGCGAAAAAATCACACTATTAGTCCATCAAATATCATTCAGATAAAATAGTGTCCCCGTCGATTCGATTTTTTATACACAAAAAAAGTATTTTGGAGCAGGCCAAAAAATCGTATAAATTTTGTAGACCTCTTAAAAATCATTTTCACTGGTAATATTTGTTTGTAAAGGTAGGGCGCAAACAAAAGATATCATGCAAAACCCAATTTTTTCAAATAATATGATACAAACAAGAATGTTTCAAATAGAGCCAACAAATTGTTTAATTTTTATACAAAATTTCAAAATCTTTTGCACTGACAATTATGTCGGTAAAATTAGGTCATAGACAAAAAAGTGTTTGTTGAAAAATGTGCATAAAATACATTTTATTTTCATGTCTGAAAACATTTTATCTATGCTGCTAGATATTTATGATTAGCAACAGGGAAAGTTCTTGAAATAGGACTAAAACAGTTTGAAAATTCCAAAATAGGATTGTCATATTTTTATTCCCAAAATAGAAGTAATTACTGTCAAGTTTGGAAAATACTGCCATGTTTGAAGTCTGGTATTGCACAAACATGATAGTAATTAGTCCTATTTTGGGAATAAAAACATGGCAGTCCTATTTTGGAATTTTCAAACCTTTTTAGTCCTATTTCGGGTAATATTCTCTTAGTAAATTGATTTTTTGCAGTCGACTTTTTTTGCATGTGGCCTAACTTTTTAGGCGAAAAAATTTGTTTCCAAGGAATTTGAACATGTGCATAAAAATTATACAGTTTTTTTATCTTGTTTCAAGCATTTTGTGTGTGCGCTAAACATTTATTATTCCGAAGGAAGAATAATAAAAAAACAAAGAGATATTTCTAAATATACTGAATTGAAATTAAACTTAATTATGACTAAATTACGACTAATAGTCGCTATAGTATAGGCTCTTAAGTGTAAAAATTGAATAGTAGTTATTGTGACTAAGTTTCGACTATAATCATTACACTTAGGATGTCACTTTTTTATAAAAAAATTTAATTTTAATCATATATATGTAAATATTTCCAAAAGTAAATAAAAAAGAAGTTAGTAAACGAAAAAGACAAAAACATGCAAATAAAAAATTGATTTAGGAAACAAACACAAATTGAAAGAGAGTACAAAGAAAAAGTAAAACAAAAACTAGAGACAAACGTTTAAAAGGTTACTATGAAATGGCGTGGGGCAACTGGGAAGGGGTAAGAAAAAAGGAAAAAGAAAAAAGAAAAATATTTAACCTACTATCACCTGTTGCGCTTAGGTCATTTGGCCTCAGTGGTTGTTTTTTAAGAGTAAGCTAAGGGTGTCTAGGTGACACTTTATCAAGTATAATTTCTTATGTGATGATTTCGCATTAGTAGAAGGGCTCGTTTCACCCTTTTCTATGATGATGATCATGATGATAGGAGCATAGGAATTTGGCGCGGGAAGCGGTGAGGAAATCATTGGTGCTTCTGAAGAATGGAAAGAGTTCCATGCATCCATTACTTCCCCTTCCCAAGAAAGCACCCAAGATTCTTGTTGCTGGAAGTCATGCAGACAACTTGGGATACCAATGCGGTGGCTGGACTGTTGAATGGCAAGGCTTTAATGGCAATAATCGCACCATTGGTACTTCAACCTTTTCCCACCCCTTGATTTATTTGTATCCCCATCCCTTGAACTATTTGTTTCTTTTATGGAAGAGACTAATTAAGCTGAAAAAGTTTTTCTTTTTTGGCTTTGACTTACAAGCCAGAGAATTTTATAATGTGTGCTAAATCGGTTTATAATGAAAAAGAAAGTAATAAGAAGACGAGATTATTCCAGTAACTCCATGCTCTTAGAAGCCAAACATAACCTAAGTGTTGATACATGACTACATGAGTTTTGTTGGTTTAACAGGAACCACCATTTTAAGTGCGATAAACAAGACGGTTGATCCTTCAACGCAAGTCGTGTACAGAGAAAGTCCATACACAAACTTTGTGAAGTCCAATAATTTCTCATATGCCATTGTGATTGTGGGCGAGCAGGGCCGTTTTTTAGGGGGTTCAATAGGTTATCCAGAACAGGGTCCCCGAATTTATGGGGCCCCAAATTTTTAAATTTCTTTAAGTATTATATAGTAAGGAATAATATTATATATTAATACTAAACTGTAAAATACAGTTAGTAAGGAAGAAAATACAGTTAGCAGGGGGTCACTGACGCCTTGTTTGGGATTTCACGGGCAAGCTTTCCCGGACATGGTTCAAGATGGTGGACAAGCTGCTAATGAACGTAGGAGACGAGCATTATGATCCACTCTTCCCTTTCGGGTTTGGCCTCACAACTCAGCCTGTGAGGAATTAGCAGTAGTTCAAGTCTACTGCTATGAATGAGCATCGTCATACACTCACACACGTAGTACATAGGTAACTGTTACATATGTAACTTGTCAATGGATTCCCTTTTTTGTTTTGTTTTTTCTTCATTGTTTTCCTTTCCTTTTCCATGTAATTACGTATATCAAACCTTTGCTGACTGCCATGTCTAAATGTCTAATTCTTATGTCCATTGATTGTTTATTTTTAACTTGTGATTTTCAATTAATTTCAATCTACATGGCGCTCTTGCAGTATATTATTGTTGTCTCGTGTTATATTAAGCAGCTTAATTACTCCATGCATAAAGTGGCCTATGGGGTCACTCTCGCATGGTATATAATCCATAACACTATTACACGTTCATGTATTACGGTATATGTTCTATGACAATGAAAAATACTTGAAATTGATATGTTAACCGTCAGACGATGCTTAACATATCTCTCCCCCTTATTCCTATACAAATAGTAGAATTTCCTTCACTACTGTGGATCCCTTCTCTCTTCTTATCTTTCAAACATAGAAAGAATAACTTCATTGATGACTCCAAATTCCAAAAGTTCTATTCTTGTACAATCTAAATATATATTTATGCAAAATGTATGAATCACCACTGGCTTGAATTTAGCCCAAAATGTTAATATTTTTTGCAGTGTTCCCCATATACATTTTTAGGGATTCATTCATGGAATCCCGAATTGCAATACCTTCATCTGTAGCTAAAAAGTTGTAACTTCTAAAAATATCAATTCTCTCGGCACATATGACCAACTCAGTGGCTGGACCTAATTTGTTGGTGACATTCTCAAGGAGTTCAAGGGCATGAGGAGTACCCTTCTCTTCCAGGAACTTGATCACCATCTTCTCAAGTGGCGATTCAGCAGAAATGTCAATCAATAGAGAAACCAGGTCAAGAGAAGGTACGGTTGGGTCGAACCCTGACAACTCAACTGTCTTGAGGCATTTGTGTTTGATTTTTGCTACAGCTTCACGCATTGGTGCATGATACGGTTCGTGCTTTTCGAGCCTTTCCTCTGCCTGCCACCAGAAGCCATCATATATGACCATTCTATGCATTGTCATTGTATGTATAGTACTATACTCCCTCCGTCCCGTAATTAAGTTCATTGACTTCACACAGATTAAGAAAATAAATTTGGCTTTACCGTGGAGTGCACTGTTTTGCACTGTTTGAACACTGTTTGACACTGTTTGACACTTTTTTGATGTAGATTATTTGCCAAATAAGGAATGTTTTGAAGTGTGAAGTTAATTTTGGGGCTGCCCAAAAAGGAAAGTGAGAAGTTATTTTTGGGACGGAGGGAGTAGTATGTATGCACAGTCACACATACATATATACTCCGTATGTACAAAACTACAAATATTCATGTCAGAAATTTTCTGACCCCCCTCTATTTGAGGTGCGTCTGAGTGGATTTTTTAAATGAAATTTTGTGAGCATGTTTTTCATGAAATATAGATTCTGCCCACAAATTTCAGCTTAAAATTCACTCCGTAAGTTAGTTAAATAAATTGTTGAAAGAAACTGTGTTATATATATATATATATATATATATATATATATATATATATGTAGGGAGCGGTTCCGGTAAGAACGGACTCCCAAGACAGAAATGAGAATGAATCTGGACCGTTGGATTGTATTATGTGGAACTGAACTGTGCATTTGGTGAAACTGAAATGTGCAGAATAAAAATTTAAACTCAAGTGTGCATTAGGTGAAATTGAAATGTGCGGAATAAAAGGTACAAATAACATCACATCGTACCTTTTATACTGCACATTTCAGTTAAAATGTATGGAGTATGCTCTAATGTCATGAAAGGATTATATTTTTGAGTCAATTCCCTAAATAGGACTAAAAAGTGGCAAAATTGCACAAATAGGACTACATTTTTTAAATTCCCTTAATAGGACTATTTATGTGTGTTTGGCCAAATATACCCTTGTAACTTGTGAAATGTCTTAATTAATAATAAAATCATACAAAAATAATAAAAATCGAAAAAAATAATAAAATTCGTAAAAAGATAATAGAAAATTAATAAAAATATTTTTTAAAAAAATTTAAAAAAAAAATTTAAAAAAATTAAAAAAAATAAAAAAAATCGTAAAATTAAAAAAAAAAACATTACCACCCCTGCCACCACCAGCTCCCATCACCGGAGAAAAATATGCCAACATTTTAAATAATGCCATAATGATGGCATATTCAATGAAAATGTTGGCATATTGAAGAGTAATTATGCCATCTTTTTGGCATTTTCAGAAAAAGATGGCATTTTTTTACCAAAAGTGGAAGAAATTTCACCAATCGGAGGTGGTGGTGCTGGGAGGCGGCGGATGGCGGTGGGAAATGTATCCATATTTTTTTTCATTTTTTTTATGGGTTTTTACTATTTTTTATTATTTTTTAAAAAAAAATTAAAAAAATAAAAATTAAATTTTTTATTTTATAAATGTTTTATAAATTTTTTATAATTTTTTTACGTTTTTTAAATATTTTTTACGTTTTTTTATGATTTTATTATGAATTAAAGCATTTCATTATGAATTAATACTCTTAGGGGTATTTAGGGTAGAAAATCTATGTTTAGTCCTATTTAGGGAATTTAAAAAGTAGTAGTCCTATTTGTGCTTTTAAGGAACTCATTAGTCCTATTTAGGGCAATTTCCGTTTTAAGAATAAGCAAGTATAGATAATCCCCTATTTGGCTATTTGACTAAAGTAGTGTTTGCGGTTGCTTAAAAAAGCGTTTTTCAGCTTTTGGCTTAAAAAAAGCTAAAAAGAGTGTTTTCAAATGACAGCTTCTGCTTAAATTAATCACCTAAAAGCTAAAAGATGGAAGCAGGTAGAAGGGTGCTTCAAACTGCTTTTCACTTTTTCTATTACACAAAAAGTACTTATTTTACCAAACATTACCAACTTTTACTTTTTCAGAATCACTGTTTTCTCAAACACTACCAACTTTTACTATTAATCACTTTTTCCAAAATTACTTTTAAAAATCATTTTTTTAAAGTTGAAGCAATTGCAAACACTTCCTAAATGTCATATGCTTTAGAATTTTGTGCTACTAGTTTTTCTTTCAAGGTTCCAGCTAGCATAGGGAGTGCGTACGTACCATGGCTTTCGGCCACCCCGCACCCAGTAAAATAATCTGCCCAATGCAAAATGAAAAGATATATACGGCATGAGAGAGATATATCAAAATAAAATTCAACGACTGATATGCACATTAATCATCCTATCATACATACTAGTCGGACTCTAGCTTGATTCTCTGTTATCATAAAGCAATATAATACTCCTCTCTCCATTTTTATTTAATCAAACACTATTTTTGAAGTCAATGATGTTAAAATAATATTGGATCAAAATTTATCATATTTGATTGGAAAATTCAAAGATGACTAAATAAAAACGGACGAATGATTATAGACGACTAGTGTGCTTCAAAGCTCCGCTCCATGTAATCTTGTGAAATTCCTATATTAGTTTAGAAATCTTGTGAAATGCCTAAATTAGTTTCCACATACAAATGACGAAATTTAATATTGTAGAAATAGTACACTACAAAAAGGTCACAGGATTGGCCCTATCAAATCCTTCCTGATTTGTTTTCAAATCTCCGCCAATTCCGTGTGTGTTTTTGTAGTGCTAGTAGCATTTTGACCTTGGTATTTGGGAGCTCCAATAGATAATTGAGTATTTTATTAAAAAATTACAAATATAACAAACTTTAAAATATTGAAAGAGTGTGTTAGAGGCTTCCACCTTCGTATTTGAAAATTATACCGAGTAAAGAAGGATGAGAAACGAACCTCCATCTTGAACGTGCATAAGGACGGAGCTGCCTTTACCAAAGTCAAAGGATAGACAAGGCTAGCATGACCGGCTTCTTCCCATCTCAATTCCACATGCTTCAAATAAATCATTTTTGGAAAGTTTTCTGGTATGCGTCTGCGGTACCTCTAACAAACGATGAGAATAAGTCAATATATAAACTAGGGAAATTATGGGTTAAAATGTTTGTGTATTTCAAAATAGGACTATGATGCTTTTATTTCTTAGATATGAATAATTAATGTTTAAAATTTAAGGTAAAGTTCTTGAAATGGGACTAAAAAAGTTCGAAAACTTAGACATATAAAAATAATACACAGACGTACGTACCGCATCACCAAAATAGTCTATTGCTAGTTTCTTGACATGCTTAAAATAGTGGACGTGTCTTTTCGGGTAGGATAGAAAGCTTAAACCATAGTCCATCCCCAGAGTGAGATCGGAGATAGAATTAGAAACGTGCTTAAAAGGAACCTGAATCATATTTCCGACATAAGCAAACGATTCGAGGTTTGGAGCATAGATCTCCATTTGTACGAGACGAAGACAGTGTAAAATCTCAAGTGACTTCAACCTTAAAGATGGGGGGCCAACAATTTTGAAGGCCATTGCTTTTGACCTTTCAATGCATAGATGTTCAAGCAAGGGGCAGTTGGATAACAGATATTCCAGAGCGTCTGAGTAAATTTCAACAGATCTTAGAGTGAGTGATTTCAGCTGGGAAAAGGGAGCCTCCCCATTATCAATCTTCAAATCCCAACCAGAATATATGAGGTTGTTAGGGTTCTTGATGACTTGTCCCAAATTTGGGAGTAGAAATTTGTTAGGCTGAAGTAAAAATTAGGACAATTGTTAATTAAACCTGTTTTACATTTCCATTAGTAAGATGTAAGAACTAAACATGCATTTTATAGTAGTATTTCATAACATATACGAGTATATTATATAGACACCGATCATGTAAGTTAGGCGTAAAATTTAAAATTTTCGGCTTCTTTTATTAGAGCAGCTGGGTCAAATTTTTTTGATGAAATTTTCCTAGCATATTGTTCATGAAATGTATATAATGTCCACCTAATTTTAGCTTGAAATTCATTCCGGGAGGCAAATAAATAAATTACTAAAAATTATACAGATTTATACTTCGTATATATAATGCAATTTTTTCAATACTATGTATACACACATACACACACATATACACACACACAAAACAAATATTCCTGTTCAGGTAGGACGGACGGACCGCCGTCCGGCCACATCATTTAGAGGTTGTTCCCGTTGGTAGGCAATAAAATGATTTTTTGAAAATAAATGTGTAGAAATATACATATAAAACGTAATTTTTTTCTAAAAATTTATTTGATTGTGTACCCGATTGAGTATTTTGTAAAATTTGAACAAAAAAATTACCTCAAAACAACCTCAAAATAAGGTGGCCCGACAGCCTCGTTCATGGGGAATATTCGTGTGTGTTTTTGTCTCTCTGTGTGTACATATATCCGGAGCACCTATACTTTAATAATTAACCAATTTGCTTATTTTATCACATAATTTATACTTTTGTCCATTACTAATTGGCTTACACATCACTCATAGTTCCATATTAAGGACAGTACTTAATTGTTCCTCCTAAAAAAGTATTGCCTCCCTTTCTTTTTATCTAGCCAACTGTAACTTTTTTTGGTCAAAGATGATAAACTTTGATCCATTATTTTAACTAATATATTTATGCAAAAGTTAATAAATTTATACTTTTATAATAGTATTTTCAACACAGAACATTTTTACATAATTTTGATATTATAAATATTATTGTATATAAATATATAATCGGTCAAAGTTGAATAACTATGATTTGAAAAATAGTGTTTGGTTAAATAAAACCTGGAGAGATGATTGATGTGTAGAGTATGGCGTGTCTCCCGGAGTTGACGACAAGTCCAACTCAAACCTCTGGACCTTCTTCTCAATGGCAAACTTAACCCATCTCTGCATGTGTATCGAGTGCTCCCTAGACAGGTCAAACCTTATCCGAAGCTCTTCCAGGTGAGAAGAACGATGCAATTTCAACACACTACTCACCCACTTCACGTACTTGTACCTTTCGCCACGGAGGTTTCCGTTCAGCGGCAGAAGGAATAGCGTCTTCGAGGCATCGAAGTCCCACCGGCGGTAGGTGTACACCCACAAGTATCTCCATCTCCGGGAAAGGGTGCTGCTCTTCGCTGCTTCTTTCAGGGACAGGAATGACAGGATATGAACAATAATGTCATGTGCTAGATCGCTTATCCTGTCATCGTCCGGCCACCTCATACATGGACCCCTCACTCTCTTGCACTGGGGAATGAGATGCATGAGAGATAAACCGCACAAAAATTATAATCAGTTAAATTAACAAATAACCCAAGTCAAATTAAAAGGCTTTAACAAATCTACTATTAGAAAGTGAAGCAGTCCACTAATAACTACTAAAAGACGATTATAACTACTTAGTACTCCCTCCGTCCCATTAAATAGTTCTCAGTTTGATTTGAATTGGAGTTTAAGAAAATGAGAATAAAGTGGAAATGTGTGATTGTGGTTGAGTAAGAAAAAAGTAAATGAATAGGAGCTAGCCACACAAAACTTTTCAAAAAGAAAAATGGGAAATGTTTTCTGGGACAACCCAAAAAAGAAAATAAAAATTATTGTATGCGATGGGACCTACTCCCTGAGCGCTCTTACTAAAAAGATATTTGATTCTAAATTATGATTAAACAGTTTTTATGACTAAAATATAGACAAAGTGCATATAAAGGTTTAATTTATGTATATTAAACAATTATACATGGGAGTATTTATACACACAAGCTTTTTTATGGCTTCGCCGACCTGGAGTAGGAGGAAACCGCGAAAGAGAGAACCCAAAAGTATAAGTAGATTGTCGGCAGTGACTGCAAATGGAATTCTGAAGCTTTCGGATGATAGCACTTTTGATAGTATGTACCTCAAGACAGCAGCTTATCACATCTTCCGGGTCAGGAAGACCTTCGAGACAGATCATTTTTTCTCAGGAGCATCTGCACCTTGCTCCAGATGGTCTCGATGACAGCCCTGTGCAGTCGCCCATTCTTGCTACAGTAGATGAGATCTCCCAACCAGGTGAAGATAATGCATCCCATGCAGACAACGGATCGACGAAGTCAGATAGTGTGGGGGTCTGAATTCTTGAGACTTCCATATGTTGACATGATGTGATGTCGCCATCCTACCATCACAATAGATAACTTGAGGTTGGTGGGGCATTTAGTCGGCCGCGATTGCACCAGTGTACCTCCGGAACGCACTAATAATCTTACCAATCCTCCCTCGGACATGTTCTTCAGAGCTCATATTGCGTCCCTAAAGCGGGGCATGCAAATTATGTTGTGTCCTTTCCTGGTAGTGCTCCTTAGGCATCTCAAGATAACGCTCAGCCAGATGACACGCTTGCCCACATGTTCACAGCTGCCTTCGTGTCCCGTTGTGAGAAGACATCAATCCATCCATCTTTGTGTTTGTTTGGTTACTACTTTTAGATGGACGTCCTCTCGCAGCGAGACACGAAGACAGATGTGAGCATGTGAGCAATCAGAGTTATCTAGCTCAAAGTTATCTTGAGATGCTTATGGAGCACTAGTAGGAAAGGATACAGCCGGATTTGCACGCCCCGCTCTATGGACACAATATGAGTCCCGAAGAACATACACGTAGGAGGGCTAGTAAGAGCGCTCTAGGAGTAGAAGGGTGCAGTCACGGCCGACTAAATGCTCCACCAACATCAAGTCCTCTATTGTGCTAGTAGGATGTAGACATCCCATCGTGTCAACATGTGGAACTCTCGAGAAGTTAGGATCCCCATCACTATCTGACTCAATCGATCTGTCATCTGCTTGGGATGCATTATCTTCATCAGGTTGGAAGACCTCATCTACTGGAGCAAGAATGGGCAGATGCACAACGCTGTCACTGAGACCATCTGGAGCAAGGACTAGACTCCCCTGGGTAATAATGATCCGTCTTGAAGGTCTGCCTGACCCGGAAGATGTGATAAGTTGCCGCCTGGAGGTACAATCATCAGGGCTATCAATAGAAAACTTATGGGTTCCATTGCAGGGACTGTCGGCGATGCGAGCCTCCAACCCTAGCTTTGATCTCGGGTCTCTCATGTGTACCAATGAGTTGTGGCTGACGTGCATACTCGCTGGAAGGGCCATCAACTCAGTTGTTCGGTCCAGCATGACATCGAGAAGAATGCATGAGCAACGTAGGGTTCCACACGTCAACCTGCACAAGCGGATGTTTAGTCCTGGAGTGTACGTGGCCTTCATTAAACTGCAGGGTCACGCCGCCAAATGCCTTATCATCCTTACCCTTCTTAGACCGCCGAGGCGACTACTTAGGGTTTCGGCCACCCTCGTTTTGATGCAGTCGGATTAGCTTGGCCTCTTCATCACGTGGACATCATCGTATAGATCCTAGTGGGCTATCGCCAGCATGAGTAGTTGAGTACCTGCAGTCTGCTTCTTTAATCAATGTGAAGGTTGAAGGTCCGACATGGGAACCTTTACAGCGAGGACATCCGCAGGGGCCACCTCTCGATGCATACGATGGCGCAGGGGCTCTTGACCGCTGAGTTAAGCAAGTGGTGACGGCAAAAGACTAGCGACCTAGTCACGCACGGTCAGGCGTGGAATTCTCCAATGCAAGCGCGGACTAGGGCCACTGGAAATTTTTTTGACGACTCAGACTGTCTGGCTGTTACGGCAACCTGCTTGGACTTTGACTTTTTCTCTAGGACGATGTTGTTGGCGAGTTGTTGGAACTGCGACAATGACTCGGACCAATCGAACGTGTTAGCAATGGCGGCGCCATGGATACGGAATTGTGGAGGCGCGTAGGAGATGTTCGTGTATTTTAAAAATAGGTATTATGCTTTTGTCCACATGAACCAATCAAAATGATGCACTTGAATTATATAAATCTAAATTAAAAATGAATTAATGATTTGGACCAATCATTTGAATGGTAGGTACTACCACATTTTTTAAATGGGTACCGGAGTTGTCCAAAACATAGCTCCGGGCAATTTAAGAATTAAAGGAAATGAAAGTTGACCTGGACCGATTGTCCTCTAGGAAAAATGCCAAGTCTCGAAGCTCTTGTAGAGTTGTAACTAAAGGCTCAATTTTTCCAATCTGAGGGTTTATATAAGCATGGGAAGATCAAAGCTCATATTTAAAGATCTTAAGCCCGAATTGGCAAAACTGATGGAGAACATTGCTTCTGTTCCTTTAGCAAACAATAGGGGTCAAAGAAGATGGCTGATCAAGACCCGGGGGCGGGCCACCCTTTGCTTTAATTTTTGGGTTGCACCCTTTTTCCTTAATTTTTTCCTGGTAAGGTTTTAGAAGCTTATTCTTTTGGTTCAAATTCGATTTTGAAGCAGTTAAATTGTTTGAATCCAAATTGAAACTACAATATACCCGGTTCAGTTTATGGTTTTTACTTTTTTTCAAATGTGATTCCCGCCCAATCAGATTCAAACTTATCTAATTTTGAACCAGTGCATATCCTACCATCACAACATCGAAGTACTCCTTCAAAAAAATCATTGAAGTACTATATACATAGACAGGACACTAGACCGAGCTCGACTTCTACAAACAATATTTTTGAGAGAAAAATTATACTACCTCTGTCCCGCCGATGGACTTTGCCAAGTGCAAACTGCAAAGTAGGTGAGAAATAAGAATAGTAAAAACTGTGTGGTTGAGATTTGTGCAGAGGAAAGAGAAATATGCAGAATCACAAATTAGTTGTTTTAATAGGAAAGTGACAAAGTTTTTTGGACAAAAAAGAAAGAAAGTTGGCAAAGTCCAATTGGACGGAGGGAGTATGAATTTTTTAAGATAAAAAAAAGGTGGCCTAGGTCCAGATTGCCTTATAGCTCCACCCTGTAAACGGTTTTGTACAACACTATATTTGGTCATCCAGACAACGGGAACCAGCGACTCAGCGAGCACTACAGGTTATGTAGTAAGTACTAACCCGATCAACTCCTGATGAATCCGGTAATCAATAATGTAGATACAATCATATGTAATTTTAATGTAAAAATAGCTACGGAGTACTTTTAATAGTAATAATTAAATAATGGTAATTTGTAACAAAATTAAAAAACCATACCTACATTCTAAAACACAATTAAAGAAAAAACAACTTAGGGGTGTTTGGAACTGATTCTGCTTCTACTTCTTTTTTAAAGCAGAAGCAGAATCAGTTTTCAGAAGCTGGTACCCCCAGCTTCTAAAAAAATGATTCTGGGAGTAAATTAGAGCACCAGAAGTGCTTATGGAATTTCACCCAAACACTCCAGCTTCTACTTCTGCTCCTGCTCCCTGAAGGAGCAGAATCAGTTTTGAAAATCAGATCCAAACACCCCTTAATAGCTAGGGAAAAGTGTAGAATTAGTCCCGTAAATTAATTGGATACACTGAGAGGCTTTCTCACTGATAAATTTGCCTACATTAATTTACCGTTTTTAGTGGAAAATTTGATGTTGCATTGTTGCGTGAGACGTTTGTGTCGGTTGTTTTTTACAAAAATTGTGTGTAAAGATCTTGATTTATGTGCACAAAAGCATTAGTTACACACCATGATCTTAGCCAATGTTTTGGAACTAATACTGAACACAATTAAAAGTAACGAAATAATTAGAGATTCTATAAGTGGACTCTTACAAATATATCGCTCAAGCCATTGAAATAAAACAATCGAACTTTTATTACCTTCATGTGCCGGTAAGACGATTTTTTCGTTAGATTTAAACAACGTCATTCGTGAAGTCTTCCGGTCCAAGGTTTATGGATCATATCATTAATGATTTGAGGAAAAGTTATATTTGTACCCGGGATTATGAGAGACAGAACATCAAAATTTGATGTTCAAAAATATAGTCTGGAAAATTCGACCTGTTCCTTAATTTGTTAAGCTAATTATACATCGTCAAAATCTACGACTAAAGGATCAATTAGCGTCTAGCGAGTAAGTAACAAACAATGCATAGCTCTAATTTACCTCAACAAAATCACAAATTTCCGACATCCCCGGGATGCTTCTAACAATTGTAGGTGTGCCGCGACCACCGTCCAGTTCAGTCAAAATCTCAGCCGTGCCATTACTTCGTACTAGTAGTCTTCATCATATGGCTTTATCTAAAAAGGCTTTAACTAGTACACCCTAAATTAAAATCATCTCACTTCCTAAAGGACTTTTAATTATTACTACGTATTATTAGGATTAGGAAGCTACTTAAAAATAATGGGTCAGTTGACTTCAATTTGGGGCTGAGGCCCAAATTACTTAGAACAGAATATCTCATAATAATAATCTCATAAAATTACTTTCCAATTAATTACCTTTGGCTTCTGTTTAATCATTCACCGTTCTTCCTAGTTCCTCCATATACACACATCCAGGTATCTCTTATGTTCTGTACTCCATCTTTTGATAATATCTTCCGTTAAGCATACGCAATTTTTTTTACTAAAGCATACACAGTTTTATAGAATTACATTATTTAAAATTTTCAATAGATCTTTATAGTTAAAACCAACGAACAAATGTAAAATTTTAAAACAAATAACAAAATTCTCCTCTCTTCAGAGTTCCAGAGTGGAACAAATTGTTATAGTAAAATTTTAACAACTACTCTAGGAATCACCATGTATGATGTATGCAGGGTTACGGAACCTTCCTTTCCATTTAAAAGACCCAAATTTTAATATTATTGTCTACATGTTTGTTTAAAATTTATATTCTAAATCCATATTGTGCATTACCCTTATTACATAAGGCCCCAATTATTGTAATTAGCACAGCACCTCATATATATGTATGTGTGTGTGTGTCATGCTTGCTAAGTTGCTAGGTGCATCAAACAGGATTGTGTAGAGGTGAAAGTCTGTTTTGGTCTTTTGGTCACGGGTTCAAATTATTTTATTATCTGTGTTAACTATTAATTTTAATCTTTTGAACTTAAATTTGTTCGAATGTAGATATTATACTCACTTTCTTACATTTAAGTTTTTATCTAACATTGAAAGTTAGTTCATTATTAAAAGTGGAGTTTTCATTCGTAAAATTTAACTTTTTGCACAATATAACAGTTTAATTTAATACATGATCATAATGAATGAAAATATCTGCATCATTTAGTTATTTGTCCTTAAAAGTCCTAAAATGAAATACTCTTGAGATGATTTTGGTCAGTACCCACGGAGATCCTCATGTTATATATGTATGTGTTTGTTCTATACAAACACATACACATACTCATACGCATACTCACACATATATCATGTATCGATTCATGTTAGCCGACACCAAAATCTTTTGGGGCTGAGGTTTGGATGTTGTTGTTTCAATATAAAAAGTCTATCAACTAAAAACGTGCATCTAAGTTGTTTATAATAGTTCGGTTGTACATTTCGTTTTTAGCACATTATACAACCAACAATTAATGCTTGATCAACACTCTATGAATTCAGCATTAGCGCCTTTTCCTATATGAAATAATTCGAAATATATTATCCAAAATATGGATAGCGGAAACAAATGTGACGTGGTAACTTTTAGTGACTATAATTATGTTCAAATATTACTTCTTAGTGACTATAAAAGCATGATCATAGTCACATTTTTTGTTCATGAGTATGATTTTCGTAATATTTTAGCAAAAACATCTTCGTAATGGGTTTATATGTGTGCGAGTGTATTATATTTTTAGTGCCATTTGCGAGCTTGTGTTCTCCTTTTCTAAGGAATGCTTAAGTGCCATACCCAGATATGACGTCGTTTTCCTTTCCCAATCAATATGATTCATAGCATACTAATCTCTTGGTTTTTTTCACCAGCTCAGGATATGATAAGTCGGCTGAGCGATGAAACTCTCATTGATATTCTTTCATATCTTTCCCTCAAAGAAGCAGTAATGACCAGTGTCCTATCTCGTAGATGGAGATACTTGTGGAGGTATACTTACCGCAGATGGGACTTTGATGTTTCAAATAACACTTCACTCTTCTTAATGTCATGCAACGGTAATCCTCGACACGTAGTGAGGTCGAAATACGTGCAATGGGTTAGTACTGTCCTGCAATTGCATCTTGGTTCTCATCTGGATGAGCTTAGGATCCGCTTTGACATGGACAATGTGATCAGGAATTCACCAGGACTTGTGTGGTGGCTTGTTTTTGCCTGTCTAAAAAGGGTTCAGAGGCTTGAGGTGGACTTGTCAAATAGATTGGGCATCAATACTTTGCGAGAGGACAAGGCCCTTTTCCCTTCTCCAGCTGGTCTCAGTCTCTACCGCTGCTGCAAATTGAACCTCCCGCCATCTCCTTTCCCATGTCCTATTCTGGACTTCTCTTCCCTCATATCTCTTTCTCTAAATTATGTTAACGTTTACGCAGATACTCTTGCTCACTTGCTATCAAACTGTCCATTACTCCGACATTTAAGTGTTAAATCATCTGATACTATGTATTCTTCTAACAAGAATCTCCCGCCATTCAAGTCCACATCTTTGGAGTCTCTTGAAATTGTACAGAGCAATTTTATGCAAAAGGAAATGGAGATATGTGCACCAAACCTTGTCTCATTTGCTTTTGTTGGACGAAACATTGCCATATCTTTTAAGAATGCTGTTTCTTCTTCTCTCACTGAGCTCACTGTTGGCATGGATTATGGTGTGTCTTTTCTACTTGACCCCTTTAAGCAGCATTCCATCTTTCTTTCACAAATCGAGAAACTTAAAATGGTGTTTAACGATACTGCGGTATGTATGTATATTGATCATCATTGTTAATTCATTGCGCAGTTACTATTACCGTTCACTAAGCTGATGTTGTGTCTTAAAATTATTAGAGGTGTTTTTTGGGTAAAACCGTGCCAAGCAAGTTTCCAAATATGAATAATTTGAAATATTTGGAAGTGAGATGGGAAGCATCTGGCAGTAGCAGTTTCCTGTTTCCCTTAACTTTGGTAAAGGCAGCTCCTTCACTGTGCACATTAAAGATAGAGGTTAGTACCTATTGCTTTCTTCTCTTGATTTAGGCATGCATCTCCCGTTTCCATTACCTCCCCCGGTCTTGGATTGGTTACTTGGTTTCAATTGGAGGATGATGGGTAATAATTTGGAAAATTTCACCGGAAAGGTGATGGACGGATTTATACCAGTTATAACTATATGAGTTGTTTGATAATGTATTTATTTGTAGCTTATTATATTCTCTTTCTTCCAACCATCTAAATGTAGAAATTATCTTAAAAGTAAATATCACCCTCCCTCCTGAAATCCTCAACCAAACAAGCACTTATGGCCAACATGTTTGATCATATAGATTTGCATTCTATATCAACATTTTATATGGTTCACAATCACAATGCATGTAGTCATACACATTACTCTTTATAAGGTGGAATAGCAGAAAACATGTATTGAATATGGTTGAAATGCAGCTCATCTGACATCTTCATTTCATCTGACATATTCAATGCCTACATTTTGTTACATTTACAGTTAAAAACACCTGAAAATTGCATTTTTCAGCATTCTCAGAGATCTTCTAATCACACAACGACTATTATGGTTTCTTTGTGCAGATGGTTCTGTCGCAGCCCTTTGCATCTGAGGTATGTAGAAAATTAAACTGTAAACGGAAAGTCAGAAAACAATTGTTGGTGTTTCATTCAGTAACAATGACTCTCATGTTATGAGACAGGCAGAGTTGGATAGAGAGCATCCTGTAGCAACAAGAACTCAACACAAATGCTTAAAGAGAGTTGAGTTGGTGGGATTTTACTCATGTGCCGTTACTCTTTGCATGCTTTCTCGCTTGATTAACATTGCTGGTGTGTCACTGGAGAAGGTGATGATCAAATTTGATGCGGAGAATCGTTCGTTCTTTGCGCTTCAGCGGCTTAAAGCCGTCACGGACAACCTCTCTTCAACGGTTGAGTTAATGGTTTCATAGATATGCTTTAATGGAACTCACCCAACACACTACTTTCTTACAGAATCAACATAACAATTCAACCAAGTAGTCATTTTAATCTTTGCCGGCTCTGTTTCTTTTGAGCAAGTGGGGTTGCTAAGTCCCTTGTTTCAAAAGTATGAGTATAAGAAGTGTTTTGGATTAGGAAACATTATTACAATTAGAAGTTAACTAGTATTCCGACTGTGCGTCGCAGAGGATGTAATATCTTATATTATAAATGTTACTCCGTAATATGTAAAATCAATTATAAATTATATTATTATTGCCGCAAAAAAGTGGGAAAATGTAAATAAATAATTAAAAATGAATATTAAAACTGTAATAAGTCAAGTACATTATGGTCTGATGGCATCACTGCAGATCTTCCAAAGAGGCGGTTGCAGATTCGAGTCTCATCCCAATCAAGGATGTTGGCATTAACTAGAGCAGATACTATAGTATAGTATGTTTAAAAGAATGTCCCAAAAAAATGGTAATAAACGCACACGTTACAAACTAAACTTATTGTGTTCTAGTTTTTTTAAAAACACCTTTTCGGTTACAACCATTTTTCGTGATTATAGACTAATTTTCCATCTACATAGTCTATAATCATTATATATAAATGTTTTTTATTCATTTTAACCCGTAACTTTTAATTATACTTCTTATACTTGTACTTGAAAAAAATTGGGTATCTTTATAAGTTATTGAAAAGCTCTGGATTACTAAAAAGTTGTTACTATACTAAAATCAATTTTCAAAAACCACCGACTTTTATTATTATCAATTTTGATACACTCTCCCCATTATATTTTATTTCTCACTTATTTGTTTTTGAAAATTTATTCATTTGTTTTCACATTTCAATACATTTTCATATATGGAAACTATTTCCTACTTATTCTACTTCCTACTTTTCTAATTTTTCTCTTTCATGTTTTTGAAAAGTGGTACTATCTATGTTTTAGATATTGCTCCCTTCATTTTTAATATTTCTACAAATACTTAACCAAAAACTGGTCAGCTCAAAACCAAAAAAAGCACACTCCTTGGGTCCTTGTAATGAATGTGTCACATAAAAATGGATGTATCTAAGCATTACTCGAAACTGTTTCAGTTGGTTGTTAATTTTGTATGACTCATTAAAATGTTCATATGAATATGATTTCAACATTACTACACACTATCGGTCATGATAAATCAAGTAGCCCTTCCAAAGTTTGAAAAAGTCTTGTGATTGTTCATTTATACTACTCCCTCCATTCTTTAATTTCTCATCATTTAGAGCAAGTGAGGTATAGTCTATTGATGGATAAGAATGTGAAAGGGGAAATTGTGAATGATTAAAACATGTGATTATGTTGTGCGAAAAAACTGAAAGCTCTAGGAGAAGGGTAGCAACATATTTTACAAAGACTATTGTAATTTGCCTTCTGTTTAAAGTTTTCTAATGGTTGGAGGAATGGTGTTCAGTGGTTTATATATATAAACATATTTTTACAATGATTGTTGTAACAAATTCATTAAATCTAAACCAAATTCTTTAACCCATAGAAACAGTTGTAAAATTGATAAATTGAAACGAAAACTTGTTTTGCTAGAGTGGTTGGTCATTGCCTAGAATATTAAAGTATCAAAAATTGATAAATTGAAAGAAAACATGTTTGTCTCTCATTCAAATTGCTCCAGAATGTCGTAATCGATGTGTCCGTCTTCGGCTTGGAATTGGTGCGGCCGTCTTCTGCTTCGAATCGGTGCGCCGTTAAATTCAAAAATCGAATTATTGATTGGGGTTATCACCTTGCTTGGTTGCGTTGTTAAATTTCAAAATACGAAGCCGTCGTTATCATCTTGGATTCTTGGTTGATACGAAGCTTGAGAAATTTGATGAAGGAGAAGGTGAGCAGAGGGGAAGGAATCGGAAATTAGAGAGGCTAGAAGGAAGGAATCTGAAATGGATGAGGAGAGAAAAATGGGATAGAGACGTACGGTGTACGATGCAGAAACGGGATGTCTATGGGCGGGGAAAATGTAGGGAAAATTTCACAAATAGTCTAAAAAGTTAAAATAATATTATTATTGTCACCACTTATTTTTTTCAAATATAAACTATGAGAAAGTTAGGAGTGGTTCGGTACGATATACCGAATATTTTCTCTCATACATTTACCATACCAAAACTTTCGGCATGCAAAATTTATATCCGTTACCTTACCGAAGTTTCGGTATACCGCGTTTCGGTATACTGAAGTTTCGGTTCGGTAACGGTACAATATCGGTAAATTACCATGCATGTCTCCCAATACAAAATAATATCAGTCTAATGAAATATACTAAATCGGTGTTACTATCAACATATTTATTCCATTATTAAAATGTTACAAAATACAATTAATAATGTATTGAAGTTCTATCAAAAAAATCTATTGATGTCATATTGAATAGTGAACAATAATTATTATTAGTATATTTAAGTAGTTCAACATGTCACATATTAATAAATAACACATTATCCTAAAATAATTTGAACAATATAGATATAATTAAATCAATAGTGATCTCTAACATAAATAAATAAATAAAATTATTCAAACAACATGAATATACAAATCTATGTTATCTATGCTTAAGCAATACTTATGAAATACAGAGTAAATTTTACCCATAACTAGTTATGTATTACTCATAATAAAATACATGTGTTTGATTAAATGGACAAAAAAACTTGGAAATGGAACATTTTATCAAACCAAATAGAGTTTTAAAAGAAATAGTTTTTCAAATCATAAAACATCATCACATTTTAGAAATTAAAGAACACATTCATGAACAAGTGACTGAGCTAACAAAAGTTCAACATCAAGCTGAACTCCTTCATACTCCATACCGTAGTTTTTCAAATATGACACCCCCTCACACTTAGCTATTAGTTTCAGACACAATGACAATAACATATTCTAAAAAATCACAAGTATTGATTTTTTTATTTTATGAAACTGATGGGTATAGATTTTCAATCAACTTCTTGCACTTTAACAGAAGCTTATGAAGGAAGAGGAAGGAGAGGAGAACTGATCTTTTACATTATTCACCAATTCTATAATTAAACTGTTATACTACTATACACCAACATCAATTTCAACAAAGAAGAAACCCCTTTAGACTAAAATAGCATTCACCAAAATTTATCATCAACAGGCCAAACATCAATTCCAAATATAGTTGTGCTACAACAAAGACCCAAACAATCAACCACCATTTCAGCAGGAATTTAGAACTAACTAACCAAAGGAATATGATAAGCTTAAAGAACAGAACATTGGTAAATTAATAGGGGTTTTTTACGAGAATATTACTAAAATAAAACTTATTTACATAAATATAACTATTCATTACTACAACGTAGTGCTGTGGTAACTAAAGTTCAAAACTTGAACATAAATTACTATGATTTCATTACTACTCTAGTAATGAATCATATTTTTGTAAACCATCTTTATTTTGGTCATATTTATGTAATTAATAGGCATAAAAATTTACCTGAAATTGGGTAAGAGAATTAGGGTGTGAGTCGATGATGTGTGTTTTCTCGCACTTAAAATGGTTGTAAAAAAGTGGTTGGAAGTACGAGTATCGTCTCCACAGGGACGGACAAAAGGGAATTAAAGATTAACTAAATTCAGTGATTAAAAAGAAATAAATAAAATAAAATACAATTGTGCGAGATTGGTTGATTGAATAAAACAAAACTAACGCTAATAGGGGTGGGATTTTGGAACCGGGAACCGTAGAACCGATTGGAACCGAACCGTTAACAACATCTAGGAACCGAACCGTTAACAATTAATATTTCATTTGTAGGAACCGAACCGAAGCGGGTTATAACGGTTCGGTTCCTGGTTCCTATAAAAAATATGTGCAGGGAACCGTTAAGGAACCGTTATTAAAATAAAATAAAAAAAATAAAATAATATTAGTAGTAATAGTAATAACAACAACAACAACAACAACAACAATAATAATAATATAATAGCAATAATAACCACCACCACAACAATAATAACAAAACAATAGTATAAAATATTTAACTAACAATTCTAATTTAATCAACGAAAACGAAGTAATAAATATTGTACCTGAGGTTGATATAATACATTAAACTCCTTTCTACAAATCAAGTTTTATTCCATCACATAAATTTTATAAATATAAATAACCCAAATAAATTGTAGTTGATTGCACATATTTTACTTTACTATTTTCATGATATTTCTAATTATTAGATTTATTATGAATCAATCGAATGTAATAATGTTTTTTATATCTATACATGCTAACTCAATGTTTTGCTTTTATGTTTTGAAAGACTTGAAGTAGGTGTCCTATTCTTGCTACTATGATGACGAGTAACCTTCATCGCTCCCACACTACAATGATTTTTATGTTTTATTTATTACATGAAAATTTAAATCGTCTTTTGTTCTATTAAGTGTTCACAGTTCATTAGTTAAGTTTGAGCTTTGATGTTTGAAGTGGTTAGAGCTTCAAATAAAATTTTAATACTCGCGTTTTGAATTTCCGACGTGTTTATGTTGTTTGTAGAAAGTAAATTTTGTGTTAATTCTTAGATGAGAAAAAATTATTCTAGGAACCGGTAAAAGGAAGAACCGAACTATTTCCTACTGGTTCGGTTCCATAACGGTTCTTCATTTTTTGTATAGGAACCGAACCGATTTCATTAGTTTAAACTTTTATAACGGTTCCACTCATTTTGAGTAAGAACCGAACCGATCCCAGCCCTAAACGCTAATGAGCAAATAAAAAGATTGAGTTTTTCCTTAATTAACGACGAAGGGAACACGAATTGATTCCAGGGTTAACCAGATTTCTGGCAGAACAGGTCTAATTACATGAATTTAATTTAATTGAGCCTAACTAATCATTACTAAGTTCTTACCGCTCTCGCGGCGTAGAGTACAATAATTTAGGGGACCAGGATGATCTCTCATGCGACAAGATCCTAAATTATTGCCAAGACGAGCGAGCTTACGGCCCCTTAATCGCTACTAATCTCTTAGCGAACGATTAAGTGTGTGTGAATGTGTCCTAGAACAAATTAGATCTCTCTTAATTCATTCTATATGCAATTGTAATTCTAGTCGCGATTCTAGGTTACAAAAGATATCAGTTAAATTATTCAAACACAAATTAAACGACATTCATGCAATTAAATCGAAGAGAATCTAGCCATCAATCATGATTAACCCCTTCATCAACCCCAAATCCTTAATTAAACTACTCACACGATCGTGACTGGCTGGCAGAATGTTTGCGTGCCTTCCTATTCCAGGCACGGTCGTGCCTCTGGGCTTTTCTTCATCATTTTTCTTCGTTTCTTGCTCCAAATGCTCCCGGATGCTTACGAGGTCGATCCAAATGCTCTTTCTTCATAAGAATTTCGTCGTGAATCTCCCGGTGACCTCCAAATCTCTCAAATCTTCTTCGAACGCCTTCAAATCCTTCCCGAATGCCTCTCAAGCGCCGATTGCCGGACTCTAATTTCTTCAATTCAACTACAATTGCAACGAAACTCGATCCAACGCCTCATAATCACAACTTGAGCTAAAATTGAGACTTGGCGACTTGCAACGTCTTAAAGCTAGGAAAACCATCAAAATCCGACTCTAACACGCATCAAATGCGTGTCTAATTACGGACTTATTAGTCGACTGACGAGAAGGCAGCGCAGTTACCACGGAAGTGTGTTTAAGTTTCAAACTGCAAAACGAACCAATACTTGACTTTGTGTTTCGGAATATTGAAGGTGAGAAAAGGAGCTTAAAGGATGAAATACCTTATATGCAGCAAAAGAGATCAATCGGAGAAGGATGAAATACGAGCAGAAAAAATCAATCGCCTAGCTTAAATCAAATACGCGGCTCTTGAGAAAGATGAAAGAAGAAAGGGCATCGT